GCGTTTCCTACTTCCGGGCTCCGAATGCATTTCTGTCGTTGGCAGCTGCCAAGCGTGTGCTCCTACGTTCCGGCCACCCAGGACACCAAAGCAGCCTGCAGGGCGAGGGCTGCCCACCAGGAAACGTGTTACGCCAGCCTCGGGAGCTGGCAGTCAGAGAGGGGCCGGACTCAGGACAGCTGGGGCTCACGGGCCAGCCCCCCGCTCAGGGACAGTACCTCACTACTCCCTTAACCTGGATCTTCACAGCAAACAGGCGGAGGGGCAGCCCATGTAGGTCCCTGCCAAAGAGCCCAGGCGCGGGCACCTGGCACAGACCTGCGCGGTGACCCTCCAACGTCACCAGCCTCAGAAGAACCGGCCTCCAGCCCCTGGAACTGCACCCCTGCCAGGCCGGGCCCCCACAGTCCTGCAGCCCCGCCTGCAGGCTACCCGGAGCTCCATCCCTCCCGGGGTCCTCCGGTCTGATTGGTCTCCCGGCCCCGTGTCCTCTGCAAACCCACCTTAAACGCCAGCAGGACTCTCTCTGAGGGGGCACTGGCTTTGGAAACCTGTGATTTTGAGCCTCCCCCACCTTCCCCATCAATTCTGGCTCCTGGCTGGGTAAAGGCAAAGTGCTCACTGGCTCCTGACAGCTTCTCGCTGCCCCTCCCTCCTGGTGGCCTTGGGGTGCCCTTGAGCCTGCAGCCCCACCCTCTCTCGTGCCAGCCAGGCATCAGAAGGTGATCAGGTGCTCCAGCGACACAAGGAGTGTCAGGTCTCTCTGGAAGCGCTGGGTCTGAGCAGCACACGGGAGAGGCTCCTACTCGGGCAGAGAAGCGGGTAGGAAACCTCTGTGCGACTGTGTCTCACGTTCAAGTACAAATCAGACACAGAAGGAAGCCAGTGCAACGAGAGGCAGGAAATAGAGCCCAGAGCTTGCCCGTGGCTGTTGCAAGCACGTGTGCATGCAGATACATGTATACGTGTGTATGTGTGCAGTGTGTTTGTATGTATGGAGAGTGTGCAGTTGTGTGCATGTGTGCACTGTGGACATAAGTTGCTGTGTGCAAGTGTGCATTGTGCTGTGCGTGTCTGTGTGTTTGTGTTTGAATGTACAAATGAGCTGCACTGCGTGTGTGCATGTGTGTGTGCATGTGTGCAGATCTTCCCTTCTGCTCGGTTTTCATGACAGCAGCCTGCACGCACAGGTGGGGCCAGCCACTGCCCCTACCACTCAGTCCTAGATCTTGGAGAAAATCCTGAAACAGCAGAGCCCCCCAGCCTAGCACCCACAGGCTGGGGAGCTGGCCCTGATGGGGGCCAAGTGGGGTCTGCAGGCCACCCCCCTCTCAGCCCGCAGCTTGAGTGGGACTCCCTTTTCCCGCTCCCCTCCCACCCTGAAGGCTGAGGCAGGTGCTGGGTGGCAGGCTTGCCCTGCAGAGAAGGCTGCCCTGCCCTTAGGATGCCTTGTCCCGGCGTGTCCCTCAGCTCCTAGGCTCCTTGTTGCCTTGCCCTTTGGTCTAGCACGTGTCACAGGCTCTGGGTCGCAGCCTGCTCCCAGGGAACCATGTGCAGCATCTGGCTGGCAGGACCTTTGACCCCATGACCCTGCCCCCTGTGTTAGGTTCTGGGGCTGCCTGCCAGGGCTGATTCCTCACCCTGCACTGCCCCACACAGGCCTCTGTGGACAGGACAGGACAGAAAGGTGCTCTGAGCCTTCTAGGAGAGGCGGGGGAGCTGGAGGCTGGTGGCAGGGAGGGCTGATAGACTCTGCACAGGGTGACGGGGCCTAGCACAGTGCTGATCTGCCAGACAGTGACTTCTTGTTCTTCAGATGACTTTATAGACAAGTAAATGGAACAAAAGTGACTTATTGTAAAGAAATACCACTGACTGTCTGTGTGGCTTTTTGTGTCCCTAGTTCCAGTCTCTCGTGCTGGATACCACTCCCTGCGGTCAGGGTGGGCCTCCCAGAGCTCCATGTCACCAGCCAAGCCGCAGCAGCCAGGTCCTCTGCAGATGTGTGTTGCTGCTGCTTAGCCCTGTCTGGACCGGTGAAGGTGACCTTAGTGACAAGCTCAGGTCTGCTGCTTGCCAGGTCTCCGTGGCCAAGGCAGGCCTCTGCTGCCACCTGGTGGTATGTGTTGGGATCGCAGGTGGCCGTCTGTGGGCGGGTCACCCCTGGAGAGTGCCCAGTCCACCACCTCCGTGAACCGGTGAGGATGGGAATCTGATCCTCAGAAGGGTTGATAAACCTGCCTGAGGTCACACAGGAAGTTGCCAGAAGAACAGGACTACCCTGGCTTCCGCAGTGGCTCCTGACTTACAGGTTGGGGGTGACACTGTAATACTCACTATAGAGGGGTTCAGAGACCTGCCTTTGAGGTCAGGCAGATGGGGTGAGTCCTGGCCAAGATGTCACCAGTGGTGATCACCAGACAAGTGACTCAGCTTTGAAAAATGTATCTTCCCCCCAACAGTGGAGCCCCTTGCAAACTCTGGTTGGGCTGAATGGGGGCCACCAGGTCCCAGTGTGGCTGGCATGGCACCTGGCACACAGGAAGCGCTCAGTTCATGCTTTTCCTGCTACTGCTGCTCATGGTGAAAACGAGGTCCCAGGAGGGAAGCGTGGTTCATTCTTGCTCCAAAACCACATGACTACATCAGTCTCATGCTGGGTGGGATGAGAGGGTAACCCTGGGACGGGAGAGGCAGCTTCAGGGAGACCTCTCCCCCTTTACTCGCCCACCTGTGGAGGTGGCCACTGTTATTCCAGCATCTCCCAGGTTTGCCTGGCCCTGGGCACGGCCTGGGGAATGACTGGGAGCTCAGACCCCTGACCTCTAGCCCTGCACACTCCATCCAGTGGGTCTGGGTGGGTTCCAGGAGCCGGCAGGTTTGGGGGATACTGGCCATCCTCATCTGTATGGCTTCTGTAGTGGGAGCAGCCAGGTGTCCTCGAGGGGCGGAGCCTGGCTCTGGTGGCCCCGGACTGTCGGACTGTCGGAGTGCCCGGAGGGGAGGAGGAGGGAGGGCCCGCAGAGCCCAGGGGCAGGCTGCGGGGGCCCTGCAGGCGCATGGGGTGCGCTCCAGGTCTCCAGCAGACAGGTGCGAGTGAGCTCGAAGGAGGAGCGGGAGGGGGCCAGACAGTCCTGGGTTCAGTTCTCCCTGCAGCAGCCCATGTGACTGACTCTGGGCAGAGGCCTCACCATCAGGGAAACTGATGGCAGCAGACTCCCCACTGGAGCTGGAAGAGCCACTGTGTGGGTCCGAGGAAGTCGGGGAGCCTTCCGTGAGGGGGCTCTCAGTGCCCCTGCCTGGACGGGACCCTGGCACCCCCTGCAAATCCCCAGCATTCCGCGAACCTACTCCCACTGTCACCGGAGGCCAAAGGCGTGCCTTCCGGCCTGCAGGAGTCAGCTCAGGCGGCCGGACAAATGCACAGGCGGGTGGCTTGAACAGCGGACGTTTATGGTCTCACAGTCCGGAGGCTGGAAGTCCAAGATCCAGGTGCCTGCAGTACTGGACTCCCCCGAGGCCTCTCCCCTGGACTTGCAGGAGGCTGTCCTCACATGGCCGTCTCTCTGTGCCCGTGTCCTAACCCTTCTCCTAGGGACACTAACCATGCTGGATGAGGGCCACCCTGGTGACCTCCATTTAGCTGAATCGCCTTTGTAAAGACTCCCGTCTCTAAACACTGTCACATCCTGAGGTGCTTAGGGCTTCAGTTTGGGGGGACACAGCTCAGCCCATGACGAGGCCTCAGCAAGAACAGCAGTGACCACAAGGCCATCGGCATCGGACGACAGCTCAGTTATGGCTGCAGTCAGACCCACAGGACCCCGACCCCCTGACCTTTGGTGCAGTGACATGCCAGGTCATGTAAGAGTGCAGCCTCTTCTAAGGACAGCAGGTCTGAGGCAGACCCGGGAGGAGCAAGGAAATCAGAGACTGATTTTCCAAATATCCAGCCCCAGATGCAGTGCAGAGGCTGTGTTTGCCACCAACACGGGGTACCCCGTGTTCTTTACAAATGTGGCAGGAGTAGGGGCAATTCCTGTTGGAAGGAGGGGGTGGGAGGGAGTCTGGGGAGACTCCTCCAGGGGTGAAGACTCTCATCTAGATGGGGGCCAAACGCAGAGTGATAGAGACACAAGGGGAGTGTGTGCACATTGCTGTCCACTTTGAACGATACGCTGTCTCACCGCATGGTGAACGGGGATCCCTTTTGCAAACTCTTCTCGTGTGCGCTCCCTTCTGGGCCTGGTTTCTCCCAGGAGGAACGGGAGCACCACCCCAGGGCCTGTCTGCTGGCCTCCGTCAGAGTCCTGGGGAGAGGGCCCGGGCCTGACCACATTGGCAGTGCCCATCCGGTCACAGTGTCTGCTGGCTTTCTGCATCTGGCCTCCCACCTCACCCTCTCTGGTCACTGTGCAGTTGTCGGGGTCGCTGGCCGAGCCACCCCCCTCCCTGAGGCTGTGGGCCCCCAGGCCTCACTCCTCCCCATCTCGGAGAGTCTGGGTAAGCAGTGAGAAGGCCCCCGCTCTTGGTGGGGGTGCTCAGCTCTGGTCTCCACGAGCCCCCGAGGACCCCTGTGCCTATTTCATGGAGGGGGAGGCAGCAAGGGGGTGGACACGTTCCGACCGCGCTGGAAGGCCACCACTCACCCTAGGAACCGAGGGGGCCGGATCCTTACAGCGCAACCCCAAGAGAGCCCAGAGAGAAGCCCCCAGGGGGGAGCACCGGGTCAGGAGCGGAGGCCTCGCCTGGCAGAGTTCCCACAAGGGCTGGAGAAGGAAACCCGATGTTCTCCCTCCCACCTCCCTGCCTCCTCCTCCTCCTCCCTCATCCCTCCAAGTTCTAAAACCGGCTCCCTCCTGTGAAACTGGTGGGACTGGACGCGAGAAAGTGACGGGTCACTTAGGGACGGACGAACCCCCGTGTCCTGCCCCCCTCCGCCCTTCTCCACTACTCTCCACACTTCCCAGGTGGAGACAGCACGGCCACCAGACGGCAAGTTGCTTGTGTCACCTGCTCTTTATTGACTGCCACGAGCTACATGGTCAGGGGCGGTCAGACGCCCCACGAGCGTACTACAGAGAAGAAGGAGGGAGGAGGGTGGTCGAGAGAAGCCGGCACTCAGAGCCTCCCGCAGACGGACCTCAGGGCCCGGGACAGGTGAGCAGGCACACGCCCGGCCCTGGCACAGCTGCCACGGCTTAGATGCACCTGGCTGGCAGCCACCCAGAGATGGCTCAGCCGGGTCTTTGACCTCTCGGTCAGCCCAGACGGGCCTGCACCCCCCAGGAGGGCAGGGCTGCTGCCTAAAGAGGCAGAAAAGGCTGTTTACTCCCACCAGCCGGCAGGTGCTGGGATCTGGGTCACCCTGAGGTCGCAGCACCTCGGGCAGAGGCCCCAGGCTCTCCAGGCTACTCTCGAAAACCCGCATTACCTCGGAGAAGAGGAAAAGGAACGAAAAACAGGAAAGAGAAGGAAGACAAAGGCCCCACTTTCTAGGGTCCCCCGATGGATGGGTCGTGGGGGCCGCGGCGGGTGGCAGCCCAGGCCACAGCCGAGCTTAGGACGAGGGAGCAGAGCTGGGCTTCTCCTCTCGCGACACGGGGATGGCTCGCTCGCTGTGGCCGGCATCCACGCCAGACGGGACTTTGGGGCCAGAGAAGGTCAGCATGCCGTCGGTGGACAGGGAGCAGGAGAGAGCCGACTGGTCCACGCTGGAGGGCAGGCGGTAGCGGCGGTGGAACTCGCGGGAGATGTAGCCGTGGTCGTCCTGGGTGGGGTCAGGGGAGGGGGCCGTCAGAGAGGCCACTGCAGTGGAGGGAGTGACCCCGCGGGGAGAAGGACCTCCCGGACCGGAGCGTCAGTCCCGTGACGCTCTCCCAGGGCAGGTGGCAGGCGGGCCGGGCTCGTGCGCAGCTTTACCCGCCGGCCCCCCGCAGAGCAGGCCTGCCCGGCCCTTGCTGCCAAGGCCTTATCTCTTCGGACTAATTTCACCGAAGTCTCATGGATGGTCTGTTCCTGGCCCTGGATCGGGGTTTCCCTGTCCCTTGACCCCGCAGACGGCCCGGGCCCGGGGTCCCTGCGATCATCTGAAGGGTCAGAGGCCCTGCCTGGGCACAGCAGCACGCTTCTCCGGATGGTGCTGGCCCGGATTCAGGCCCTGGGCCCGACCCTCTCCTCCAGGTGGACGGGCGGACAGCCCACAGGGGAGGAGCACCCTGGGCTGGGCTGGCGAAACAGCCAGCCAACTCCTCCAGCCACTGAAGAAAGCCCCGGTCTCTGGCCCAGCCACGAGGAGCTGACTGCCAGCACCACACCCGCGGGCCCTCGCCCTGTCCACTACACGAGAGGACGTGGCGTGCCCGCGACCGCGCATGGGCTCTTCCCGGCCCTGTCTGAGACCCTGCCCAGGCTCCCCACACCCCCACCCGCCTTGTCCCAGTGGTGGGCTGGGCAGGCCGAGGGCTTCCTGAGCCGGGCGTGCCGCTGGCCAGCTCGAGATGACGGGCTGCTGAGAGTGAGCCTGTCAGCACAGGCGGGCGTCCGGAGCCTCGATGAACGCAGCTGCCACAGCACCTCCAAAGCCGGGTTCGCGTGACACTGCCCGGGGCTCGGCGCTCGGCCTTTCCGGGGTCCTTCCTAACCCCACCCCATCACGCAGGGGATTGGGACGGAGTCAGGGACAGCCCCAGCCATGCATCTGGCTTCGGGGGCTGCAGAGGGTTCAGGAACCGTCCCCCCTCCCCCCCACCACCACAGGGAGGCAGCTATGCTTAGGGGAACGGGCGCCCCCTCCCGGAGAAGCACCTGGATCCCGGAGGCCTGGAGGGTCCCTCTCGCCGGGCCCAGGGCCCAGGAAGGGTCCGCTCACCTGCCGCTCGCTGTGCTTGCCGTGGATCTCCACGAAGTCCTCCTGCACCTTCACGTCGAGGTCCTCGGGGGAGAAGTGCTTCACGTCCAGGAGGATGACAAACTTGTCCCGGTCGGATCGGACCTGAAACCCAAGCACTCGTGTGGGTCTCCCTGGGGGCTGAAGCTCGGGGAGGGAGTTCCCTGTGGTCCCTGGCGGCTTGTCAGAGAGACCAGGTGGAGTGGCGGGTGGCTCCGTCCCCAGTGATCAGAACAACTGCAGGTCACAGCCCTGAGCTCTCCTTAGACACAGCCAGGGGAACAGTCTCAGGAACCGGGGACTAGGGCTGTGTGGACAGCCAGCTGACCACCAGAGCCTGGGGGTTCAAGGCGATGGTGTCTGGTGATGTCAGCTGGTAAAGGGCTGCCTGGCTGGCTGGGGCTGGGTGGCTGTGTGGGCTGCCCGGCTGGCTGGGGCTGGGTGGCTGTGTGCGCTGCCCGACTGGCTGGGGCTGGGTGGCTGTGTGGGCTGCCCGACTGGCTGGGGCTGGGTGGCTGTGTGCGCTGCCCGGCTGGCTGGGGCTGGGTGGCTGTGTGGGCTGCCCGGCGGGCTGGGTGGCTGTGTGGGCTGCCCGACTGGCTGGGGCTGGGTGGCTGTGTGGGCTGCCCGACTGGCTGGGGCTGGGTGGCTGTGTGGGCTGCCCGGCTGGCTGGGGCTGGGTGGCTGTGTGGGCTGCCCGGCGGGCTGGGTGGCTGTGTGGGCTGCCCGACTGGCTGGGGCTGGGTGGCTGTGTGGGCCGCCCGGCTGGCTGGGGCTGGGTGGCTGTGTGCGCTGCCCGACTGGCTGGGGCTGGGTGGCTGTGTGGGCTGCCCGGCTGGCTGGGGCTGGGTGGCTGTGTGGGCTGCCCGGCTGGCTGGGGCTGGGTGGCTGTGTGGGCTGCCCGGCTGGCTGGGGCTGGGTGGCTGTGTGGGCTGCCCGGCTGGAAGGGGCCCAGCGCGCGTCTGAACCAGGGCTGCTGAATGGTGATGTCCATGCTGGGTGTCGGCGCTGCAGGGACCGGGCTGTGGGCTGCCCGGCTGGCTGGGGCAGGGTGGCTGTGTGGGCTGCCCGGCTGGCTGGGGCTGGGTGGCTGTGTGGGCTGCCCGGCTGGCTGGCAGACCTAGCACTTGGAGTAGGGCTACTGCCCTGGCTTCCCCTCATCTCTCCCTCCATAGTCCGGGGCCCTGTCCCTTCACATCGACTGGACGTGCCTGACAGCCCACAAAGCTGCCGCCGACTGCCCTGCACACGGCCCGTGTCTGACGCCCCTCCTTTGTTCATGCACTCGGGCTCCGGGTGGGTTGGCCCGTGTCCGTTCTGGGCAGGCCTGTGTTTAGACAGCAGGTGCGTTGCCAGCACCCTGGACCCAGGGTCCGGCTCGGCTCGGGGAGGGCAGACCGTGGCTCTCGTTGCCTTCCCTTGGCGCCTGCCCTTGGGCACCGGGGATGACGTGGATGAGCCCGCTCTCCTCATCTGTGCTGGCCGAAGAGGCCTTCGGGTAGGAGGCGCAACAGCCGGCCTTGAGCAGCACCCCCCACCCAGGCTCCTGCTGGAAGGGGAGCAGGACGGCGCCTGCCGTCAGACTTGCCTTGGTGGGGTTGTTCTTGGGGCCTCCAGCATGTGGCTGGTGCATCACAAACCACATATGGGTCATGAGCTGATGGAGGGAAAGACAGCGTCGGGCTCAGGCAGGCCGCCTCTCCCGACCCCTCCCCGGAGGCCCGGGCGGCCCTGCCGTGAGGACACCCCAGCCTCTGCCGTCGGGAGGAACGGGGGCGAGGGAGAGGGGCCCCGCGGCCGACACCGTCCACTCCACGCAACGAGACGAGAGCTCGAGAGCACAGCCCTCAGACACCCCAGCTGGTCCCCCAGCCACACCCGCCCCCCCACCCCCGGCCAGGTGGCCTCACCTCAGAGATGCCCGAGTCCAGCACCGTGCGGAACAGGGACTGGCGGTAGTAGGGGCTGATGGTGGAGGACAGGAAGGGCAGCAGGTCGTACTCAAAGAGGCCCTCGCCGAAAAACTGGTCGAACAGCCGGCTGGGGTGGAAGGGGCCCAGCACGCGTCTGAACCAGGGCTGCTGGATGGTGATGTCCATGCTGGGTGTCGGCGCTGCAGGGACCGGGCTGCGGGGTCAGGCAGGGGCCTCTGCACGGTAGGGAGCCGGGTGCAGGCCCTTCCTATATACGCCTGGGACAGAATGCAGGCATTAGGGGGATTTGTCCGGACAGCATGAGCTCATGAGGGAGGCTGGCCAGTCAGCAGAAACGTGGCCCTGGCTGGGAGCCCACCACTCCCGGCCCCGGGCACTGACCGGCAGGCATCCCCGAGGAGCCGCTGTGCCGCCACCAGCCTGGGGGACAGTGAAGACTCATCTCCATTGCCGGGTGGGGCCAGCTGACTGTCTACGTGGCCCTGTGTGATGCCACCCTACCTGTGGGCACTCAGACTCCTGTGCCACCGATGAGGAAATTAAGGCACAAAGGCTAGACAAGTGGTCTCCAAATCCTGCAGCTACTGGGTGAAAGCATATGCTTTTTCAAAACAGAATTACCTTTATTACCTCCTCCTGCTATAAAAAAGTATGCATATTTATAAAAACCTCAGGAAAGACAGAAAACGCCAAGCAATCAAAAGCACCTGTCATTCCGGCACTGGGGTCCCTACTGTGGGGTCTGTGTGTCTCCAGACAGGCAGGCAAGTTCCCTTTCACAAACATGGAACCCCCCGGGCTGTCCTCCATGTGCCCCCCCTGTGCCGACCCTGCCAACCTGTCCTCTCCTGGGCACGACGACCCTTCAACCAGGCGGCCCGCCAGGCCTGCCACCTGTCCGTGCGGGCACTGCTTCCGGCAAGGCCTGGCCCCATCTGGGCTCCTCTCTGGGGTCCTGTCCAGTTACTGCTCGGGACGCGTTCCCAGAGGGGACCTGCCCCCCCGTCAGTTTAGAGGCTTTTGGTGTTTCCAGCAGCTCGGCCTCCAGGGAGCATCTTGCTGGCTTCCACGCACCCACGGCAAAGGAGAAGGCCGTTCCCACACCCCTCGCGAGCGGGCATCGCGCCGGGCAGTCCGGACAGTGAGGAGCCTCCAAGTCATCCTGGTGCCTCTCAGTTCACACTCCGTCCGGGGAATGCTGCACCTGCCAAGTACCCACCTGCAGATGCGTCTCACCGCTGGGCTGAGCCGGTCCGGAGACAGCAGATTCACCGGCAGTGAGGCAGGACTGTGCCTGAACGTCTGGGAGGGAGTCGGCGGGAAGTGGGGATCTCAGAGGGTCCCCGACACCGTCTCTAGCCGGCTTCCCCCTGCACTCTGAGCACCAGCCAGTAGAAAAGGCCTGGAAAACCTGGCAGTGCCACCCTCTGCCCTGCAAGTCTGCCATTTCGGGGAGTCATTTCCCAGGGTGCCAGACAGCAAAGGCCAAATTAGGGTGCAGATCATCAGTGTGGTGGGGATGAGGCCACCTCCCTGCCCCAGGCCTGGCCTGGCCACGCCGATGGTAACCTGGTGGCACCTTGCCAACACCCTGCATGGCAGGTAGGTCCCAACATTCCACTTCACAGACCAGGAAAGTGGGGTTAGGAGGTGAACCTGTGTGCCCAGAGCACTCGGCCAGGAGGGGGGACTTCAGTGAAGGCCCCTGCCCAGGATGGGGTCAGCATGGCGGCAGCAGTGGGGGTGCAGGCAGGGTGGTGGGTGGCCTACACAGTGCTGGCTACCTGCTTCTGGTCATGTGTCCGTATGTGGGAAGGCTGGTGTGCCCGTGTATGTCTGCGTGTGTCCCCGTGTGCAGTGTGTATGTGAGAAGGCTGGTGTGCCTGTGTATGTCTGCGTGTGTCCCCGTGTGCGGTGTGTATGTGAGAAGGCTGGTGTACCTGTGTATGTCTGCGTGTGTCCCTGTGTGCGGTGTGTATGTGGGAAGGCTGGTGTGCCTATGTATGTCTGTGTGTGTCTATGTGCGGTGTGTATGTGGGAAGGCTGCTGTGCCTGTGTATGCCTGTGTGTGTCTATGTGCCTGTGTATGTCTGTGTGTGTCCCTGTGTGCGGTGTGTATGTGGGAAGGCTGGTGTGCCTGTGTATGTCTGTGTGTGTCTATGCGCAGTGTGTATGTGGGAAGGCTGGTGTGCCTGTGTATGTCTGCGTGTGTCCCTGTGTGCGGTGTGTATGTGGGAAGGCTGGTGTGCCCGTGTATGTCTGCGTGTGTCCCTGTGTGTGGTGTGTATGTGGGAAGGCTGGTGTGCCCGTGTATGTCTGCGTGTGTCCCTGTGTGCGGTGTGTATGTGGGAAGGCTGGTGTGCCCGTGTATGTCTGTGTGTGTCTATGTGCCTGTGTATGTCTGCGTGTGTCCCTGTGTGCGGTGTGTATGTGGGAAGGCTGGTGTGCCCGTGTATGTCTGTGTGTGTCTATGTGCCTGTGTATGTCTGCGTGTGTCCCTGTGTGCGGTGTGTATGTGGGAAGGCTGGTGTGCCCGTGTATGTCTGTGTGTGTCTATGCGCGGTGTGTATGTGGGAAGGCTGGTGTGCCTGTGTATGTCTGTGTGTGTCTATGTGCCTGTGTATGTCTGCGTGTGTCCCTGTGTGCGGTGTGTATGTGGGAAGGCTGGTGTGCCCGTGTATGTCTGTGTGTGTCTATGTGCGGTGTGTATGTGGGAGGGCTGGTGTGCCCGTGTATGTCTGTGTGTGTCTATGCGCAGTGTGTATGTGGGAAGGCTGCTGTGCCTGTGTATGTCTGCGTGTGTCCCTGTGTGCGGTGTGTATGTGGGAAGGCTGGTGTGCCCGTGTATGTCTGTGTGTGTCTATGCGCGGTGTGTATGTGGGAAGGCTGGTGTGCCTGTGTATGTCTGCGTGTGACCCTGTGTGCGGTGTGTATGTGGGAAGGCTGGTGTGCCTGTGTATGTCTGTGTGTGTCTATGTGCGGTGTGTATGTGGGAAGGCTGGTGTGCCTGTGTATGTCTGCGTGTGACCCTGTGTGCGGTGTGTATGTGGGAAGGCTGCTGTGCCTGTGTATGTCTGTGTGTGTCTATGTGCCTGTGTATGTCTGCGTGTGTCCCTGTGTGCGGTGTGTATGTGGGAAGGCTGCTGTGCCTGTGTATGTCTGTGTGTGTCTATGTGCCTATGTATGTCTGTGTGTGTTTATGTGCGGTGTGTATGTGGGAAGGCTGGTGTGCCTGTGTATGTCTGTGTGTGTCTATGCGCGGTGTGTATGTGGGAAGGCTGCTGTGCCTGTGTATGTCTGTGTGTGTCTATGTGCCTGTGTATGTCTGTGTGTGTTTATGTGCGGTGTGTATGTGGGAAGGCTGCTGTGCCTGTGTATGTCTGTGTGTGTCTATGCGCGGTGTGTATGTGGGAAGGCTAGTGTGCCTGTGTATGTCTGTGTGTGTCTATGTGCGGTGTGTATGTGGGAAGACTGGTGTGCCTGTGTATGTCTGTGTGTGTTTATGTGCGGTGTGTATGTGGGAAGGCTGCTGTGCCTGTGTATGTCTGTGTGTGTCTATGTGCCTGTGTGTGTTTATGTGCGGTGTGTATGTGGGAAGGCTGGTGTGCCTGTGTATGTCTGTGTGTGTCTATGCGCGGTGTGTATGTGGGAAGGCTGGTGTGCCTGTGTATGTCTGTGTGTGTCCCTGTGTGCGGTGTGTATGTGGGAAGGCTGGTGTGCCTGTGTATGTCTGCGTGTGTCCCTGTGTGCGGTGTGTATGTGGGAAGGCTGGTGTGCCTGTGTATGTCTGTGTGTGTCTATGTGCCTGTGTATGTCTGTGTGTGTTTATGTGCGGTGTGTATGTGGGAAGGCTGGTGTGCCTGTGTATGTCTGTGTGTGTCTATGCGCGGTGTGTATGTGGGAAGGCTGGTGTGCCTGTGTATGTCTGTGTGTGTCTATGTGCGGTGTGTATGTGGGAAGGCTGGTGTGCCTGTGTATGTCTGCGTGTGTCCCTGTGTGCGGTGTGTATGTGGGAAGGCTGGTGTGCCTGTGTATGTCTGCATGTGTCTATGTGCCTGTGTATGTCTGTGTGTGTCTATGTGTGGTGTGTATGTGGGAAGGCTGCTGTGCCTGTGTATATCTGCGTGTGTTTCCCTGTGTGTGTTGTGGTGTTTGAGAAGCGTGAGCCACAATCCCTGAGATCATCTTTCTCTACTATCTAAACAAATCAGGACCTGTCAGGAATGTTTGTCAAAGGCTCACAGAGTTCCAGGGTCGGCAGGAAGTGCGGCCTTTGGGGCGGCCTCCCGGACGCGGCCCCTGGCGTGGTGGCCTCAGCACTTTGCATTCTGCTGCGGGCTGACGGCGGCCCTTCTCACACAAAGGCGGCTATGTGCTTCCGCTGCAGGATCGCGCCAGCCGTCTGCTGGCGCCGCACAAAGCCAGCCCCGACCCTCCGCTCCAGGGCCCAGCAGGGCGCACCTCAAATCCACACTGCGCAGGCGTGGGCATCGCTGTGGGTCAGCGGGAATGTGTCTGGCCGAGCTGACTCTCCGTGAGGTCTGCAGGCTGCCTGGTCAGCCCACTGCCAACCCCGTCACGGCCCCTGGAAAGGAGCGAGGGTCCGCGACGCCCCAGCAGCCCCTTCTGAGACAATCATTTAGCTCTTTATCCATCTGTCATTCATCTGTCTATTTATCATTTATCTATGTATCTGTCATCTAGCTATCTAGCATCTAAACTTCTCTGAGAAACCTGGTCTTTGTCCGCAAGGCCTTCAGCTGATTGGTTGAGGCCCACCCATTGTGTAGATCACAGTGAGTAATCTGCTTTCCTGGGAGTCCACCGAGTTACATGTTAATCTCATCTCCAAACAGCTTCATGGAGACTGGTGTCTGACCTACAACCTGGCCCCACAGCCCAGCCAAGCTGACACCTGACATTAACCGCCCCTCCTAGGGCCACCTTCTTGCTGTTCGCCACGCCAGGGGAAGGTGAGTGCCAGAGCTGATGACCGGTCCTCACGCGTGACCCCTGCCAAGAAATCACCAGAACCCACCACCACGTGCAGAGAAGGGAAACAAAACATTCCGTGCACGTTGTCCAGGATCATTCAACGAGCCATCAGCACAGCGGAATAGCAGTCTTCCCTGCGTCTGCAAACACTCATTTATCCGCCCGTGGTGGGTTTACCGAACGCCTGCCCTGCACGGGTGCCTGGCAACATGAATGAGGCGGTGCTCGCCAAATTTTCCACCCACACTCATGACGAGCACAT